AGTGACCAGTGAGAAGTGACCAGTGAGAAGTGATCAGTGAGAAGTGACCAGTGAGAAGTGACCAGTGAGAAGTGACCAGTGGGGAGTGACCAGTAGGGAGTGACCAGTAAGGAGTGACCAGTAAGAAGTGACCAGTGAGAAGTGACCAGTGTGGAGTGACCAGGGAGAAGTGACCAGCAAGGAGTGACCAGTGAGAAGTGACCAGTGTTAAGTGACCAGTGAGAAGTGACCAGTAAGGAGTGACCAGTCAGAAGTGACCTGTGAGAAGTGACCAGTGTGGAGTGACCAGTGAGAAGTGACCATTAAAGAGTGATCAGTGAGAAGTGACCAGTAAGGAGTGACCAGTGTGGAGTGACCAGTGAGAAGTGACCAGTGTGGAGTTACCAGTGAGAAGTGACCAGTAAAGAGTGACCAGTGAGAAGTGACCAGTAAGGAGTGACCAGTAAGGAGTGACCAGTGAGAAGTGACCAGTGAGAAGTGACCAGTGAGAAGTGACCAGTGAGAAGTGACCAGTAAGGAGTGACCAGTAAGGAGTGACCAGTGAGAAGTGACCAGTGAGAAGTGACCAGTAAGGAGTGACCAGTGAGAAGTGACCAGTAAGGAGGGACCAGTCAGAAGTGACCAGTGATGAGTGACCAGTGAAGAGTGACCAGGGGAAAATTCGACATTCTACACTCCCGGGAAAAGCAAGACGGACATGCGATCAGGCAGCGCATTGTACAGGAAGTCAGATTTTGCCGCTGAAGATGAGGACGAACCGTTTATGTGAACATCCTGTGTTATTCTAAATTCGAATAATATCTTCGATATTTAACCCTTAATAAAACACAAACGATAGAAAGCTGTGGTGAGTTATCTCCAATGCCTGGTGCAGAAGAAGCATACGAAATCGACACGAAAACCCCTGCCTTGTCCAAGACTCCATCTCTCTTACGCTTTTACGTGTTTAAACCAAACAGTAATTTACCTAGCCCAGTTACGGTCTTAGTCGCGATAAAGTAAGTCTCACCCACACAGAAAGATCCCGCCAATATCGCGGCTTCTCGTGCCGACAGACATAACACCACCAGAAAATTAAACACTCCGAAAGTGTGAACAGAGACATAGGCGGTGACAGTACGACACGACACGTGTTTGAACGAAGCTGAAGCGTTACTGAATATAAACAGGAAATTGATGCTTATATCAACAACAATAGAAATATATTCAATGTATATGACCTAATTACTATTATTGTTATGTTATTCTTAGTAAAATAAAACAAAGAATCTTTTTCCACCCCTTTAGAAGTACAGGGCATAAAGGGTTAGATCTATTTTATTTATTCAATCAGCACTTGATGGGTAATGTGCTCAAGCATAGCACCGGTCGCCTTTACTTCCCTGCACTTATCTGGTAGGCAATTAAGAAACCGCCGCGGTGTAGCAGCAAGACGCGCGCCTATGGGTGCGAAGGTCCTGGATTCAGGTCCTGATGGAGCCAGAATGTTCTTCAAAATGACATTGGCTTCCGCATCGACCCAGCCTAAAGTGACTACCAGATTAAGTCATGGGAAGTAAAGGCGGCCACTGCGATGTTGACCACATTAACCGGCCAGTGCCCATTGGTCTACAAGATAAAAGTATAGCCTTATTTTTCAATGTGTCGGAAGGCGAAAAAAAGCGATCCTTTCTAATCGGCACTTGGTGGGGGATTCTGGTCAACAACTTTCTGGCCGCCTTTACTTCCAGTGACTTGATCTGATGGCTAGTTTAGGTTGGGTTTATCTGGAAGCCAAGGTCATTTATGATCCGGCTCAAGACGGTTTTAAACCCACGATTTTCAGGACCATACGAGAACGTCAAGCTTCCACACCACTTCGACTCCAAATAATTAATAAATAATGTTGTTATTGTCGGCTCTGTGGCTAAGTCGATGCGAACACTTCGCTTCGTAATGCCGGGATGCCGGGTTCGATCCCAGCTGCGGGCAATGCGCCTTGCGTTGGTTTCGACAGTGGTATCAAGAAAGCCGACCGTCCAGAGAGCAATGGCAAACTACTGGACGTAATTTGCCTAGAGAAACCACACAACAGCCAGGGGCTGTTAGGGATGGTTCTGCAACGTCCTGTAAAGGATACGCAACAACCAAATGTTGTTATTAAACAGTGCTTGTGTTCGTCGTAATTGTAGTGTTTGCCTACAGACCCTCTGTTGTGGTGAAGTAGCGACACTAGTGGTAGTAGTTACTGTAGCAGCACTTGTAAAAAGTAATGTTAAAAGTAGTTAGTAGTAGTATCACTTGTAGCAGCTTGTAGTAATTTTGTTAACATTATAATTAATACTAGTATATTTTTGGCAGTGGTAGTATCAGTAGCAACAGCGTTACCATTACTGTTAATAGTAGCAGATATTGGTATTTTAATTATAATAGTAGTAGTGATAATGAAAGTGGTAACAAAAAGGCATTAGCTGTAATCGTTGTTGCGGTAGTAGTAGTTATTGTAGTACAACAACGGCTGCTGTGGCTGCTGCTGCTTTAACTACTCTTCCTCCTACTGCTACTGCTGCTGCTGCAACAGCTACTACTACTACTACTACTACTACTATTACTACTACTACTACTACTACTACTACTACTACTACTACTACTACTACTACTACTACTACTACTACTACTATTACTACTACTACTACTACTACTACTACTACTACTACTACTACTACTACTACTACTACTATTACTACTACTACTACTACTACTACTACTACTACTACTACTACTACTACTACACAATATTTTTAACGTGTATTTGTCTGTAAACAGTCTTTATACAAAATTTGTGTGTAAACTGTATTGATGGAGGGAAAAAACACAGTACTTCTAATTCTATAATTACATGCATGCACAGTTCACACACACATATATACAGAGTTTTACGTTGTAGTAGAGGCAGTAGCAGTTTATCTGTGTGTGTATGTTTATGAATATGCGTGCGTGAGTATCGGCTTTTGCACCACCAATTAGAAAAAAAACAACAACAAAAACAAAACCAAGACCTGGTTGACGTCTGAAAGTATTTGCGAAGAATGACAGAGGGCGGTGGAACAAGAAAACAAAAAACAAAAATAATACTTCATTTAATAACCAGTGATTATTCTGGTTTCAAACATCCAAGACCTAACCTAAATGCCATAACCGATCCAGTGCTCGCGTGACAATCTTTGATTAGTGACGTCCAAGTTTTTGCAAACCCAATCCGTTGGTTTCCCATTTCCGGTATTTCCTGTTTCAATTTTTGGCGCCAATAAAAGCGCCATATTTCTCTCAGAGACCGCCATTCCCGGAGTCTCATTCCAAGCGCTGGCCGTTGTTTCTGCTTTTCGTAAACTGTTTAGGATTAGATAGATAATCTCCACGTTTGGCTTTGTTACATTATCCAGTTTGCTATCAACTGTTAAAAGCTATATAATCCATATTAGTAATAAACAGATTAAAGGTTATATAATCCATATAAATAAAATATAAGTTAAATAATCCACGTTAAAATATATTCAAGGTTATATAATGCATAAGGTTATTATTAAATAGATTAAAAGTTATGAACACATAATTTTTATTATATTTTTTTGTATATACATATTGTTGATAGATAGATTACACGTTTTGTTATCCGTATTGTTTATAAATAGATTAAAATGTATGTTATCTATATTGTAAACAACTATTTTATTGCTTTCAAATAATACTTTACTTAGAAAGCACATATTTGTGCATTACAACACAAGTCGTTATCAAGTGGGATACAATTTTTCGTTTTTTTAAGCCCCACCCTGGTTTTTAACGGGGGCCATGAAAAAAGCCAGGCCATAAATATGACCTAGCGGCTGAAAGGGGTTTCTGGGACCTCTCCACGGGTGATCCTCATCCGCATGGTGAAACTTTGTGTCACCGGTTGTTAATCGCTTGTGTGATGTCCTGGTGTGGTACAACAAGAGAGATAGAGACAGAGAGAGAGAGAGAAAGAGAGAGAGAGAGAGAGAGAGAGAGACAGAGAGAGAGGAGAGAGAGAGAGAGAGAGAGAGAGAGAGAGAGAGAGAGAGAGAGAGAAAGAGATAGATAGAGAGAAAGATTTGTGGATTGCGTAAGCTTGGAGATATTACATTGTAAGTAGCTAGTTGTTCACGCCAGTGTCGCACCGAGCGTGTATTCCTTCCCAGTTTGGGACACATTTTTTAAATTGTTTATATTTTTAAGCCAGACCCCGGCTGGACTTCATGTTACTTCGTGACCGTCGTCGGGGGGGGGGGGGGGGGGGGGGGGGTGGGAAACTAATGTAACCTTAGAGTTGAACTTACACCTAGGGGATTCTCATCCGAATGGGGGCGCCTTGTGTCAACGGGTCTTAATCGTTCCTGATGACTGAATGACTAACTCACTCCCTCTCTCTGGCATATGACGCACATAGACGCATGTCTCAAAAGACTAGTCCTACAACACGAGATAATGTTATGAGGATCAATGTTTATCTCGCGCGTGAGGTGGTATTGACGATTCAAAACGGATGTGCAAAAGATCGAAGATGTAGCTGGGCATCGACGTCCGGTCTCTGTTCGTGCAGATAAACCTCACTGCCAACGTTAGAGAAAGGGTACCCAAAAATAAACACTGATCTTCATTAAACTTATCTAATAAATGTAACTGTTTCAAACGCATTTCCCAAGTTTGACACATAATTAGTGGCCACCCTTGGATCCATCCTGCATACGTAACAACAGCAAGGTATACTAGCTAGGAAAAATGGCCGATTACTTGTCTGCAGACTGGCTGGTGTTACAATATCTCTTGATCATAGATGCATGGTGCCTTTCTGGAAGACATGCTTTGCTTTATGAAAGTCGTTTTAGTTTTGGTCATGATAACATCCATATCATCATTTGATTGTTGGTGTACATACACATACACTGAAGAGGTGTTTTTCCTTTTAGGTTGAACATTGTTTCTAAGAGCAAGATTTCACCATGGCCTACAGTGCAAACACCAAACAGGTCTCTTCCTTGCTGACACTGTTAGTCGTCGTGGTTGTACTTTGTGGCACGGTTTCGTGCGCTGATCTGGGATTCCAGTGTGTTTTCGGTCCCATGATAACTTCAACTAGTAAGTTGTTTTGCTCCTTGTGAAACTGTTCTGGTTTAGTATGCAGTTGTT